AGGGGCCATAGTTCCCCGATGCTGGCTGAGGAATTCTGGGAGTTGAAGTCCATGAGTCATGAAGGGGCCCTAGTTCCCCCATGCTGGCTCAGGAATTCTGGGAGTCGAAGTCCACGAGTCATGAAGGGGCCATAGTTCCCCATGCTGGATTCTGGGAGTTGAAGTCCACCAGTCATAAAAGAACCAAGGTTGCCTACCCCTGGCCTAGAGAGTAATGCAATGGCCTCGCCTGGACTGAAATCCTGTCTCTCTCTCTCTCACTTTCTCCCCAGGTCCTCCGTGAACGCTGTGGCTTGGGGTCCCTCCGGGGTCCACATAGGAAGTGTGGACAAGAGCCGCAAAGTTGTGTTGTGGAAGTAGCCAAGAAGCAGAAGACATGGCTGCCAGCACCCCTGTCTCTTTCCTAGACTTGCCCATTTGTGCCTTCCGAGGTGGATCCCTGGACGTCCGAATGCGGACAGGCTGGTGGGGCTAAGAAGCTGGTCTTCCTTTGGCCCGAGCGCCCCCGATGTGGGCCTTCTTTCTCGTTATGGGGGTCAAGGAGGCAGATGGGGAGCCGGGAAAGTTGGGGCAAGACCCCTCCCTCAATTCTCAATAGGCATGCAAAGAAAGTTTCCTTACATTGCCGAGTGACCGATCGGTTAGCAACAACCCTTCGCGGTAGGCCGCAGGTGACAAAGCCTCCTGGAACTCAGCTGGATGACTAGAAGGGGTTCTACGGGGGGGGGGTGTCCTCGACTTACCACCACATTTCTGTGGCTAAGCGAGACATTTGTCTGAAAGGGTATATAGGCTTTCCTGCCTGAGCAGGGGGGTTGGACTAGATGACCTCCAAGGTCCCTTCCAACTTTTATTATTATTATTATTATTCTTTGTGAAGCGAGTTTAGACCCATTTTACCCCCTTTCTCCCTGCCGTTGTTCAATGGCTGCCCTTGTTAAATGAGTCACACGGTCGTTAAGTGACTTTGCTTGTCGGAAAGTCGCAAATGGGGACACCGTGACCGACCCCCCCCCCCAAGGTGCCGCGACTGTCATAAGTAGGAGTCAGTTGCCAAGCGTCTGAATTTTGATCACGTGACCATGGGGGCAGCCGCAATGGTTGTAAGTGTGAAAAACTGGTCCTAAGTCCCTTTTTTTCAGCACCGTTGTAACTTCGAACCGTCACTAAATGAAACTGCCGCATCGTTCTGTACAGAATTACGGGAATGATAGGATTGGAAGGGACCTTGGAGGTCCTCTAGTCTAGTCCAAATCACCCACCCCTCCCCGGATCGTGTGTGTCATTTTAACAGCTGCTGTGATTCAGTGAAGAACCGTGGCCCAAAAAAGAAAAAAGGTTGTAAAATCGGATGCAACCCGCTGAACGACCGTCTCGCTTTGCAATGGAAATTCTGGTCGTAATTCAAGGATGACCTAGAAGTGGCTGAACTGTGCAGAAAGAGGAAGCGGTAGCGGGACAACAGCCCGGTAGCGGGACAACAAAAAAAAAGAATCACACAACAGGCTTTTGTTTTAAACTCCGATTGGACGCTGAGGGCAGACGATTATAGGGGGGGACCAGAGTTCCCCCCCCCCCTCAGTGAGATCACGAAAGTAAGCCCGGCTTTCCTGCATTCCTTGCAACTCTGCAGAAGATTCTGGAATTGCAAAATCTGCCTGGCAATGTTGCAAGGGAACCAGCTTTTTTTTTTCCCCCTTTCTTTGCGTCGCACAGTCTGGGAAGGAGGTCTTGGAGGTCTTCTAGTCCAGCCCCCTTTTTGAGCAGGAGATTCTATTTCCAGTGGTGCTTTTTCTAAGCCACGATATAAAAAAAAACCATGTTGAGACTCTGGAAAGAGCGCCAAGGAAAGCAACAAGGATGATCGGGGGGACCGGAAGCTAAATCGTATGAAGAACGGTTGCAGGAATTGGGGATGTCTAGTTTAATGAAGAGAAGGACGAATGGGGGACAGGATAGCAGTCTTCCAGTATCTCGGGCTGCCCCAAAGAAGAGGCAGTCAAGCTATTCTCCGAAGCATCAGAATAGAATGAAGAGATGGAATAGAGTAGAATAGAATAGAACAGAACAGAACAGAATAGAATAGAATAGAAAATATGGAATAGAATGGAAAATATAGAATAGAATAGAATATATGAGGATGGTGATGGGAATAGAAAAGAATAGAAAATATGGAATAGGATAGAAATAGGATAGAATAGAAAATATGGAATAGGATAGAAATAGGATAGAATAGAAAATATGGAATAGGATAGAATAGAATAGAAAATATGGAATAGAATAGAAAATATGGAATAGGATAGAAATAGAATAGAATAGAAAATATGGAATAGGATAGGATAGAATAGAATAGAATATATGAGGATGGTGATGGGAATAGAATAGAATAACAGAATTGGAAGGGACCTTGGAGGTCATCTAGTCCAACCCCCTGCTCAAGCAGGAGACCCTATACTATTCCAGGCAAATGGTTGTCCAAACTATTCTTTAAAAACCTCCAGTGATGGAGCACCCACAACTTCTGAAGGCAAAATTCTTTCCACTGATTGATTGTTCTCCCTGTCAGGAAATTGCTCCTTAATTCCACGTTGCTTCTCTCCTTGTTTCGTTTCCGTCCGTTGCTGCTTCTGCCTTCAGGTGCTTTGGAGACTAGGTCGACCCCTCCCCCCCCGGTCTCCTTTGGGGCAGCCCCTCAAATATTAGAAGATGCTATTGTTGTCACCCCTGGTCCTTCTTTTCGTTAAACTAGCCATGCCCAGTTCTTGCGACCGTTCTTCAATCTGAACTATGACATTTCCTGAGAGAGAGAACCATTAACCAGTGGAACGACTTGCCACCAGAAGTTGTGGGTGCTCCATCCCTGGAGGTTTTCAAGAAGAGACTAGACAGCCATTTGTCTGACGTTGCATAGAGTTTCCTGCCTGAGCAGGGGGTTGGACTAGAAGACCTCCAAGGTCCCTTCCTGTTCTGTTATCCTATTATTCATCTCCACAGGGCCCAGATGCTTAACAGTCTTCTTCTTTTCATCAGCTACGAAACGTTGTAAAGAGCTGAGTAGAACATGCAAAAAAAGTTTTCTGCAAATCTGCTCGGAAGGAAGAATGAATCACAGCACATCAACAGAAGGAAGATACAGTTTTTGCGCATCACACACCCCTGGCGTTGTGGGTCCAGCTCTCGGCACTTAAAGTGCTCCTTAGGCATTACTTCACACCTCTTAACACCAAACAGCCCTCGCAAAGGGTGTGGAGCTGGCTGACTGCTCCTCTCTAATCTAATACATTTTCCTCCTGGGGGGGGACAGATGGGGGGGCTGCCCCACTTTAGCAGTTGGCTGAGTGTCATGAGCTGGCTCAGCTTTGATCTGGAATCTCCGATGCCAAATTGCGCAGCAAAAAATGTGCGTTTTTTCCCCCTCCTTGCTTTGCTGGAGGTGAAAAACATTGGCAAATCCGTTCACGGCAGGCTGAGCAAGCGTGGGATCCCACAGCCGCACCCTGCAGAGAAGGCCAGTTGTATACGGGCAGTCCCCCGATTCATTTAACGACCGGACATTGCAACAGCGCTGGGGGGGGGAAAGCGACTTAGGACCCATGTTTCACACAGGGCAACTGATTCATAGTTACGGCGGTCGCAGCGTCCCCGGGGGGGCTCACGGGATCCCCTTCTGAGCGGGGAAGCAGGATTCACTTAACAAGCATGTTACTAGCTTGGTGACTGCATTTTACGGTCGTAAAATGGGGCCATGCTCACTTAATGAGCCGTGATGGCACAGTGGTTAGAATGCAGTACTGCAGGCTGACTCTGCCCACTGCCAGGAGTTCGATCCTGACCGGCTGAAGGTTGACTCAGCCTTCCGTCCTCGAAGTTGGTAAAAGGAGGACCCAGATTGTTGGGGGGTGATAGGCTGACCTTTGTAAACCGCTTAGAGAAGGATGCAAAGCAATGTGAAGCGGTATATAACTCTAAGGGTTATTGCTATTGACAACTCTTGCTTAGCAACAAATTTCGGACTCCGTAACGGTCATAAGTTGAGGACTCCCCAATTCCAGCCACCGTTCCTTATATGTTTTAGCCTCCAGTCCCCTGATCATCTTCGCTGCTCTTCTCTGCACTCCTTCCAGAGTCTCAACATTTGCACATATTTAGTCTTCACATAAATGGGGGATGTGGGAGTTACTGTTTTTATTGTTGTACATTGGGTTTTCTAATTTTTTTGTAAGCGGCCCAGAGCCACTGAGAGTGAGTGGGGGCAGCCGTATAAATTTAATAAATATGCAAACAAATAAATTAAAAATGTAGTGGGCTTGTATCTTACAACAGAGGACTTCGACCCTGCCAGCGTGAGTATCTTTGTAGTAAGTGCAGGCTACATTTGGTTAGGTCTGCCAAGGAGGAACGTCTAACGGAGCTTCTCGGAAGCAAGAATGACTATTCCTGTATCATCTTAATAACAAGAGTTGGAAGGGACCTTGGAGGTCTTCTAGTCCAACCCCCTACTCAAGCAGGAAACACTAGATCAGGGGTAGGCAACCTTGGCCCCCTCATGACTTGCGGACTTCAACTCCCAGAATTCCTGAGCCAGCATGGAGGAACTATGGCCCCTTCATGACTCATGGACTTCAACTCCCAGAATTCCTGAGCCAGCATGAGGGAACTATGGCCCCTTCATGATTCGCGGACTTCAACTCCCAGAATTCCTGAGCCAGCATGGGGGAACTGTGGCCCCTTCATGACTTCTGGACCAACTCCCAGAATTCCTGAGCCAGCATGGGGGAACTATGGCCCCTTCATGACTTGTGGACTTCAACTCCCAGAATTCCTCAGCCAACATGGCTCAGCTTGGAAACTTTCCCTTTCCCCTCAGCATGGCTGGCTGAGGAATTCTGGGAGTTGAAGTTCACAAATCATAGAAGAGCCAAGGTTGCCTAGCCCTGCCCTAGACCATTTCAGACAAATAGTTGTCTAGTCTCTTCTTTAAAACTTCCAGTGTTGAAGCACCCACAACCTCTGGAGGCAAGTCGCATAATGTCGGGTGCCCCAGGACTAGGCCCGAGAGGCTTGCAAGGCCTCAACAGAAGAGGCAGAAGACAGCTGGTGACTCTGCATTTATGGACTCTAGAGGAATGCATGTTTAAAGGTTAGACTGAGACCAGGAAGCTCTGGGTTCAAGTGTTTCGCTTGCCCCAACGCACATGACCAAGAAGGCAAAGCTTGGGTCGTGTGATTGGGTTGTCTTCTTCATTCTTTGGACCCCCCCCCCCCCACAGATGCCTCCTGAAGCGACAGGGTTAGATTGCAACACAGCAATGAAATGTAACAAACCAACATGCTGACTTGTAAACAAAAAGCAACCAGGATTAAACAGGAAGCCCCCCTGAACCCATTTGCTATTACAAACACACCCTATCCCAGGTCAGTTCCTCTTAATGGCGATTAATGTGTTTGTGGCTTTGCAGAATCTTCAGCCCTGGGTTAGAACAACGCACATCCATCCGTGAAATTGGAATGTGCCCCCTTCACACACCCCAAACCATCCCACCAAACGTTGAGGACATCTCCAATCACCAGAATATTCCCCACCCCCCACATGCAAAGTGGGTCTGAGTCGTGAACGGTTGAGCTTTAAGACCCATGTATCTCAACCTTGGCAATTGGTAGGTGGGCTTCGACCCCGAGAATTCCCCACCCAGCAAAAGGTTTGTGGAACGGAGGTAGAGGAGGACTATGTGGGGGTCCTTGGTGCTCTCTGAGCTTGGTGGTTCTCTTGCAGACGTTTCATGACCCAACTAGGGAACGTCATCAGGGCTAGAAGGGAGGAGGAGAAGGAGGAGGAAGAGGAGGAGGAGGAAGGAAGGAAGGAAGGAAGGAAGGAAGGAAGGAAGGAAGGATGGATGGATGGATGGATGGATGGATGGACGGACAGATTGTGGGGTCCTTGGTGCTCTCTGAGCTTGGTTCTCTTGCAGACGTTTCATGACCCAACTAGGGAACATCATCAGGGCTAGGAGGAAGGAAGGAAGGAAGGAAGGAAGGAAGGAAGGAAGGAAGGAAGGAAGGAAGGAAGGAAGGAAGGAAGGAAGGAAGGAAGGAAGGATGGATGGATGGACGGACAGATTGTGGGGTCCTTGGTGCTCTCTGAGCTTGGTTCTCTTGCAGACGTTTCATGACCCAACTAGGGAACGTCATCAGGGCTAGAAGGGAGGAGGAGGAGGAGGGAGGAAGGAAGGAAGGAAGGAAGGAAGGAAGGAAGGAAGGAAGGAAGGACAGACTGTGGGGTCCTTGATGCCCTCTGAGCTGGGTGGTTTTCTTGCAGACGTTTCATGACTCAACTAGGGAACATCATCAGGGCTAGAAGGGAGGAGGATAAGGAAGGAAGGAAGGAAGGAAGGAAGGAAGGAAGGAAGGAAGGAAGGACAGACTGTGGGTTCCTTGGTGCTCTCTGAGCTGGGTTGTTTTCTTGCAGACGTTTCATGACCCAAGTAGGTAACATCATCAGTGCTCGAAGGGAGGAGGAGGAGGAGGAGGAAGGACTGTGGGGTCCTTGGTGCTTTCTGAGCTTGGTGGTTTTCTTGCACATGTTTCATGACCCAACTCGGTAACCTCATCAGTGGCAGAAGGAAGTGGAGTTTTGCTCTCTCCTTAACAAATCCAGCTAGGGCATTCTGGGAGTTGAAGCCCACCCCTCGTCAGGTTGCAAAACTTGCATGGAAAGACACTGTTCCAAATGCCCCTGTATGCTTTGCTGAGACACCCCAGCCTGGGCCAGCCACCCTTGGTCCCCCTCCGAATGGCCATTGCGCCTTGCCGGAGATGCCACCAGCTGAGCCTGGAAGTGGCTGAGATGTTCTGCAGAGATGCTTGCAGGATGAGGACCCAGGAGGGCCTGCTTTGAGGTGTGGTTTCTCCCAATCAGTGGAGGGTTCTTTAAAAAGGGTCAAGGGGGGGAATTGTGGCTTGTGGTTTCCCTTGAGGCCTTTGGAGCAGGTAAGTGCCGGGTGGGGCGGGGAGTTAATCTGGTTCACGGGGGTCCCCCCCCTTACCCCCCACCCCATCCCAAAGGCTGGGTTTGACTCGGGCGAAAGCAGCTTTGTGATTTACGGAAAAATTAAAAAAAATGAGCAGGACCCCCACCCCGCAGTAGTCGGTTTCCCAGCTTTTTTTGTTAAACCTTAATTGCATTTGGAATAAGTTCTATTAAAATCATATTAAAAGTGCAGCTCGCCAAAGCATTTTGCCTCTTGATGCGTGAATGTGTTAATGCGGAAAGAGGCTTCCAGAATTTCTGTTTTTGATAGTTCTGTTTCCCCTTTTTTTTAAAGAGGTTTTTTTTCCCTTAGGTCTGTTTGTGTGTCTCTGTGAGTGTGTGTCTCTGTGTTGCTGTTTTTGTATGTCTGTGTGTGTGTCTCTCTCTCTCTCTCTCTGTGCCTGTGTCTGTGTATTTCTGTGTCTCTGTGTGTTTATATGTCTGTGTATTTAGGTCTGTCTCTGTGTGTCTTTGTGTATGTATCTGTGTCTCTGTCTCTATGTCTTGGGTGTCTGTGTGTTTCTGTGTACGTATGTCTGTGATGCTGTGTGTTTTTGTGTCTGTGTGCATGTCTATGTGCCTGTAAATAATAATAATAATAATAATAATAATAATAATAATAATAATAATAATAATAATAATAATAATGTCCTGGGTAAGGACTCGATAGGTAGACAAAATGCCAAATCCAGTCTGAACATCTGGCTGACTGTGCGATGATCAATAATGATGATGATAATCATCATCATTATCATTATTATTATTATCAAGTTGGAAGGGACCTTGGAGATCATCTAGTCCAACCCCCTGCTCAGGCAGGAAACCCTATACCATTTCAGACAAATGGCTGTCCAGTCTCTTTTTAAAAACTTCCAGTGTTGGAACATTCACAGCTTCTGGAGGCAGGTGGTTCCACTGGTTAATTGTTCCAACTGTCAGGAAGTTTCTCCTTAGTTCTAGGTTGCTTCTCTCCTTGATGAGTTTCCATCCGTTGCTTCTTGTCCTGCCTTCAGGCGCTTTGGAAAATAGTATATCCGTGTGTATTTGTGTGTCTCTGTGTCTCTGTGTGTCTTTGTCTGTCTGTGTGTGTCTTTGTGTGTCTGTGTGTCTGTATCTGTGTCTAGGGCAGCGGTTCTCAACCTGTGGGTCGGGACCCCATTTGGGGTCGAACGACCATTTCACGGGGGTCACCAAACAACGCAGCCTGCCATTTTTTCCCCCTTTTCCTTAGCTGTGCTACTCCCTTTTATTCTATTGGCTTTCAAAAGCCAATAGGAATTGTCCAGACTATCTCTGCCCTGCTGAGCCCACCAAAAGTCCCATTCTGCAAATGGTGCTGCACCAGTTGACTAGTCCTCGACTTACGACCGGTCGAGTAGTCCTCGACTTACGACCGGTTGGGGGTCGCGGCATTAAAAAGGTTGAGAACCACTGGTCTAGAGGACCACCAAGCTCCGTTCCAGCTCTGTTACTCTCTTATGTCTCTTTCTCTTTAGGAAGACGCTCCGGAAAGTTCTCAACAGTGTCCATCTGTCCCTGCTTCAGTGCAAAGCGGTTGAGTTGGGTGGACCAGATCAAGACCATGTGGCAGGACGATTATTTGGACAGCTTGGACCCTGACTCGGGGCCTCTGGATGAGATGGGCCTGTCGACTCAGTTTTTAAAAGTCTCCTTGGCCTTCAACGACACGGAGAAATGGGACCACTCCTTTGCGGCCAGCGTCATCGCCAGCGTCCCCACCATGCTGGAGATCCTGGAGGACACCGGGTTTTTCTTCCTCTTGGGCAAATTGTCCACCCTTCTGAAGGGGCTCAAAGCCGCTGGTCTCCTCTCGGATGTGTGGAAGGCTCCCGAAGGTGCAGCTCTGCAGAGCCTGGCTCCCATCTTCAGGTTGCTGGTCCAGCTTACGCCGAGGAAGATCTACCATAGCTTCTGGTGCCTCCGAGACTTCCTGGAGGACGCGGACGAAGAGGATTTTGAGGGGCCGGACTGCCTGAGATATCTGACTGGCGTCCAGCAAGGCTTGGAGGACCTGGAGCCGCAGAAGACTCTGGATTGCTTGGCGGACCTCCATGATTTCCTCCTCTTCCAGTATCCGTATCTGATGTGGTTAGCTTCTCATCCCGAAGTTCAAGAGAAGGTGGGCGACCTGAATCTCTTTCCGACGTTGATGATAGCCCGGAAGGTCTTGGGGTTCGGCATGGAGTATTTCCACGACTGTCTGGTCGATCTGCAGGAGGTTCTGGAAGATCTTAACGAGGTGGAAGCCGTGGTCCACACTCCTGATGACTTGGACATGTTCTAGATCTCCGGGAAAAGACCAGCTTTAAGGGCAGGCCCCTTATCGCTCACCATCGCGTACAAAATTTTAATGCTCCCATCTTCCGGGCCTCTGAAGGAACCACCCACCCTTACAACATCGCCCCCAACCGCACGCTAGGTTAATTAATTGTAATTAAATTGATTAATCTACTGGCACCCTACAGGCAAACGTCAACGGAAAGCGAATTCTGCATTTCTCTGCTGACTCTTCATACCATCTGCAGCCTGTTTTTAATCGGGAGTTTAAATGCCTGGGTCATTTCTCCTCGGATCAAACTAGCGTTTCAATAAAAAAAATGGAGCTCCTAATAAAATTGTGTCCGGTGTGTCATTTTAGGATCAAACTCACAGAGAGCCTGTGACCCACAACAGTTCACTTAGTGAACCTATTTGAGGTTAACAACGGCGCAGGCAAAAAAGCGACTGATGGACATTTTTCACACTTGCAACCTTTGCAGCCTCCCCCCCCCCAGGGTCACGTGATTTACATTTGGAGGCTTGGCAACTGACTCGTACTTATGACAGTTGCAATTAATCATGTCCTCCCTGTTTGCAAACTTCCAACACGCCAAGTCAAGGGGGGGGAGCTGAGTTCGCTTAAAAACCATGTGTGCCTAGCTTCACAACTGCCATGGTTCACTTAACGGCGCTGGCAAGAAACATAAAGCAGAGCAAAACTCACTTAACAAATGTCTCACTGAACAACAGAAATTTTTGGGCTCGGTTGTGGTCGTAAGTCGAGGATTCCCTGTATTTATGACTGCTGAGCTGTCCCAGGGTCACACAATCCAATTTTGTGACCTTCTGACACGCAAAGTCAATGGGTGTGTGTGTGAGTGTGTGTGTGCCAGATTCACTTAACGACCATCCTCACTTAACTGCAGTGATTCACTTAACGGCTGTGGCAGGGATGGTCGTAAAATGGGCCAAAAGTCATTTAACAAATGTCTCACTCCAGCCACATCAATTTGGGGCTCCATCGTCGTAAGCCGAGGACTAAGCTAGTATTTGGGGGAGTAAATGATGGTTCACATTGTGGAATCGTCAAGGAGGGGGGATAGAATTTCAAAGTACAGGTAGTCCTCGCCCTACGACCACGACTGAGCCTAAAGCTTCTGTCGCTAAGCAAGACAGTGGAGCAAGCTTTGCCTCATTTTACGACCTTCCTCTCTGCCCATCGTTAAGCAAGTTGCCGCAATTCACTTTGTCACGGTCATTCAGCGAATCCAGCTCCCCCCCCCGTTGACTTTGCTTGTCGGGAGGTCACAAAAGGAGGACCACGGCAACCCATCGTAAATATGAATCGGTTGCCAGGACGCTGAATTTTGATCACGGGACCCCAGGGAGGTTGCAACGATCTGAAGGGTGAAAAAAAAAAAACGATCTTAAGTTACTTTTCCCAACGGGGATGTCGCTTTGGATGGTCGCTAAACGAACCGTTGTAAGTCAAGGACTTCCTGTAATTGTGGAGCAAGGTGAAAATTCCGCCACTTTAAAAAAAGGGTGGGAGAGAGAGAGAGAGATGCTTTCTCCCCCCATTCGATTTTAAATTTATTTGGGGTCTGCCCAGAGAGGAAAAAGGAAGCGCTGAATCTAAAGGTGCGCCCGAGGCCACGGCCTGGTGGTTTCGTGGTATCATCCATGGCTCTTTCGTGGTCCGCTGTGCGGATGTGGCAAGTACCACAATCCGGGATGTTTTCCATCTTCCCAAAGTAGCCAGCAATCCTGGGATTCCGTCCAAATCTTAAGTCAGACCCGGCCTTCTCATCGAAGGCAAAATAAAAGACCCAGCCATTGTACAGGCCATCCTCGGCTTACGACGGAGTGTTTAGTGACCATTTGAAGGTAGATCAGAGCTCCCAAGGTACACAGGTAGTCCTTTACTTACGACCACAACGGAGCCCAATTTTCCTTTTGCTAAGAGATTTTTAAGAAGAGACTGGACAGTCACTTGTCTGAGGTGGTATGGGTTCTCCTGCTTGAGCAGGGGGCTGGACTAGAAGACCTCCAAGATCCCTTCCAGCTCCTATTCTATTCTATTCTATTCTATTCTATTCTATTCTATTCTTTATTCAATTCTATTCGATTCTATTCTAATTCTACTCTATTCTATTCATTTTCTATATCCATTCCATTCCATTCCATTCTATTCTGTAATTCTATTCTATTCTATTCTATTCTATTCTATTCTATTCTATTCTATTCCATTCTATTCTATATTCTATTCTTTATTCTATTCTATTCTAATTCTATTCTATTTCATTCCATTCTCTTCATTCTCTTTATTCTATTCTATTCTATTCTATTCTTTATTCTGTTCTATTATTCTTATTCTATTCTATTCTTTATTCTATTCCATTCTATTCTAATTCTACTCTATTCTATTCATTTTCTATATCCATTCCATTCCATTCTATTCTGTAATTCTATTCTATTCTTTATTCTATTCCATTCTATTCTATTCTATTCTTTATTCTATTCTATTCTAATTCTAATTCTATTCTATTCTATTTCATTCCATTCTCTTCATTCTCTTCTCTATTCTTTATTCTGTTCTATTATTCTTACTCTATTCTATGCTTTATTCTATTCTATTCTTATTCTTATTATTCCAATCCATTCCATTCCATTCCATATTTTCTATTCTATTCTAGAGACATTTTTTTTTAAAGTGAGTTTTGCTCCATTTTTTCTTGCCACCATTATTAAGTGAATCGCTGCCATTCTCCAGTTAGTGACCTGGTTGTTAAGTGAAGCCAATTTCCCCACTGTTTTTGCTTTTCAGGTCCCAGAAGGGGATCATGTGACCTGGGGGGGGGGCACTGCAACAGTCATAAACACGAGTCAGTCGCCCAGAGTCTTGATTTTTGGATATCTTTTTTTAAAATCAAAGATATCCAGGAAGATTCTTCTCCCATTTGCCTGTGAGGGGCCTTGGCAGGCTGGCCTTGTCTGAGCTCTCCCAACCCACTCCCCGGATGGGGGACCAACAGGCGATTCCAGGATTAGGAAAGTCTTGTTGAGGCCTTGGCAGGGTGATCCCCGGGCACCCGTTGCCTTTGAGAGCATCTTCCAGCTGCTGAACGAAGACAAGGGATAGGTGCCCGGCCTTTTGAGGAGGGTCAATCAATGGATTTTCAAGCTGCATGTCTGAATGAGCAGCAGAGAAGAAGCCAGAGCAGGAAAAAGCCTCTTGGGTTTGGCCCTTCTTGAGTCTGGTTCGAACACAGCACACAGACCCAAGATGGGGTGATTTGCTTTCTCCTAGCCCTGTCCTGCAGTTCCCAACAGGAAGAGCCTCGACTTTGCCATCTCCCATCTGTAAAATGGGTTGATAACTAGCTTCCCTCTAGGACAGCCTCCAGGGCAGTTTCCTTTGCAGCCCAGTGAGACTATCTAGCTAGCAGGACTCCTCGACCGGGACTATCCCTGGCTTGCCTCAACGGGCCCAACTTCCAAAGTCCCGGATTGCACGCAAGGCACGACTCAGGGTCGTGAGAATGCAGCCAGGTCACGGGGGATGGGGAAGGACACGCAAGGCAGGTAGGGAGGAAGAAGCGAATTGTCTCCGGTGAAAAGCGGAGATCGCCTCGCTTTATTACGGGAGGGAGGGAGGGAGGGACGCCGCCTTCCCAGGGCTTGGGGGGTCGTGAGAACGCCGCCTCCCTTCCCCTCTCCCTCTCGCGTGCATGAGCCCCTCCCTCCCCGGTTAGAGCCCCGTTTAGTAAGCAGGCGGGCGCCCCCCCCCACCTCACCCCACCCGTTCGCTCCCTCCCCTCCTGCCGGACACGTGATGCAGGGGCGGCAGCCTGGCGCGGTGTGAACGCGGCTCCCCACGCGTGCCGGGGAGGGGTTGCTGCTCTCTCGGGCGTGACGCGGCGGCTGGAGGAGGAGGAAGAGGAGGAGAAGGAGAAGAAAAAGGAGGAGGAGGAGAAAAAGGAGGAGGAGAAAAGGGAGAAGGAGAAAAAGGAGGAGGAGAAAAAGAAGGAGGAGAAAAGGGAGGAGGAGAAAAAGGAGGAGAAAAGGGAGGAGGAGAAAAAGGAGGAGGAGAAAAGGGAGAAGGAGAAAAAGAAGGAGGAGAAAAGGGAGAAGGAGAAAAAGAAGGAGGAGAAAAGGGAGGAGAAAGCAGCACATCAGCCTCAGCTGCAGCGTCCCGCGCTCTCCGCGGACCGAGCAGCCCGGAGCCCCGTCGGTGTCGGCCGGAGACCCGGGCAGCCTCTCCGGGGGAAGCGGACGGACAGCAGCCGGGAACCATCCGAGCAACCCCGACCTCGCCCGCCTCCTGCGGCCGGGCTTCTCCCCGCTTTTGCCCGGCGTCCGGCTCGGGCCAGGGGCTGCCGCAGCCATGGGCGACAAAGGCACCAGGTCAGTGGGCGCACGGTCGGAGCCTCCGCGCATCTGGACGCGTGTCGGCCCGTTCTGACGGTCTAGGGGAGGGGAAGGGGCGGAGGGGGGCTGCCTTCTGCTCTTCGCTGCCCCGCCGACCCTTCCCTGGGGCGTCCGGGGATGGGGGACGGAGGGTGGGGGGGGGGCGGCTTAATTGGGGAGCACTTGGGTTCCACGGGTTGATGCGTAACGTGGGAAGGGGCTGTGCAGATGCGCGGTCGGGGTAGGGGCTGGCTCTGGGTTGCCTACTACGGCCAAGGCTTTTTTTTTTTTTTTTTGCGGTTGTGTGAATTTCCGCAGTCTCGTGTAGAAGATGGTGCAGCGCCAGTGCTGATTAGAGAAAAGGAGGACGAGGTTGGGGGGCAGGGGGGGAGGGAGGGGGGAGTACCCCCATTTAGAGACTCCCCCCGTTTAGGGAGAAGATTCCCCCCCCCCTTCCCAGCGGTGGCATCTAAACCTGGAATTAATTAATTTATGCCAACGCTGGGAAAAACAATTCAGGGTAGCCAATTCGGCCTAAAATGGGGAGGGGGGTTTCTGATTTCCCCCCCCCCCAGCTAAGAAAATAAAAATTGGGAGACGCTCATCACCCCCTTCCTATCCTTCTGTGCTGTATGTTTCCCCCCCCCCTCCAGCATCTTTTCTTTGTTGCTAAATGGAGCCTCCCCATCCAGAGGCACTTTATCTGAAACTGAGGACTAGCAGCACAGAATAGCAGAGGGAAAAAAAAATTGCAGCTGGAGGGGCTTTCCTGCAAAATTGGTGGACACCCCCTCCCCCATGTTTGGCCCATGCTGTTCAGAAGCCTGGAGGAGGTGGGTGGCTGGGTTGCTTGATCCCACCTCCTTCCCTATCAAGGCTGGTAGGGGATGCTGGGAAGTGTAGTTCTGTAGGGGTGAAGTTCCAGAAAGCTGCTTTTATGGCTGTTTGCTTGATGGTATATTTTTTATTTTTTAATTGATAAAAATGGACTCTTATCTTGCCCTTTTCCTACAACAACATTGCGAGGTAGGCCAGGCTATGGGAGTGGCCAAATGTCTCCGGTCATAATCCACCTTTGTAGGATGCTGTTTAACAGAGATTGATGGTTAATTGGATGTGCTACGCTGAGGCCTGGATTTCTGCAATTCCACAAATCCAGTTTGATAATAGGCTAGTGCAAGTTCTCAATCTTGGCTGTTTTAAGATGGGTGGACTTCAACTCCCAGAATTCCTCAGCCAGCAGGGCTGGCTGGGGAATTCTGGGAGTTGAAGTCCACCCACCTTAAAACAGCCCAGGTTGAAAAACACTGGGCTTAAATGTGTTGTCGTATGAACCTGTGCAAGATCATTGAGAAGATGGAGAGAAACCACATCTGATATATGAAAAATAGAGCTGATTGACCTGGGAAATCGGGGATGTCCCCAAATGACCCAACCAGTTTCCTAGTCCTCATTGTCTATATATATATAACATAACCGTGACCAATTCTTGCATTTTGACTTTAAAAAAAACACACACACACAAAATTAACAACGTGCAAGGTGAGAGTATGCTAAGCCATGGATGGCAGCCTCCTAGAATGGTAGCAAGGAGAAGGGATTCCCTGAGGTCATCTAGTCCAACCCCCGGTTGTTCGAAAGCGATGACAGCAGGGTGTTGTGCGGATGACGCAAATGGGTGTTCTTTTTGGTCACGGTGCGTAGGGATTCTCTTGCCCCCCCTCCTTCCCCACCCAGTGGCTGTCCACCCATATTTTTGTGTGTGTGTGTAGCATCTGGGAAAAAGAATGAGCGAGCTGGGGCTCGGCTGAAAGAGCCGATCCTGCGTTCGAATCCTGACGTTGGAAGGAGTCTCTAGCAAAGGGCTGGAGTTGCAGATGTGTAGCAAGCTTAAATTAGGGGTCCCCAGCAGGATGTACCCCCTCCCCAATAAGTGTTGGCTCTTCAAATGCTAACCCTGACCCGCCTGGGGTGTTAGAAAGCAGAGTCCTCGTTCTCTGGGGGGGCCCTGTGGAGAAAACGGAATTGTTTGGCGCTTTATCTGGATCCAGAGATGAGCTGTGTGTTGTGGGTCCCTAAACACCACAATTCTCCAGCAGGAAACCGGTTCCAACCAAACTTAAGGGACGGCTCTGCTAAGTGGGCCCAGTTAGTGTCCAGGAGAATTTCCTTCCTTCCTTCCCTCCCTCCATTTTTCCTTCCTTTCTTCCCTCCATTTTTCCTTCTTCTCTCCGTTTATCCTTTCTTCCCTTCCTTCTTTCCTTCCCTCAGTCTCCCTTCTCCTTCCCTCCTTCCCTTTATTCCTTCTCCCTCTCCTTTGTGTTCCCTCGTTCCTTGCTCCATCTTCCTTCTTTCCTTCCTTCCTCGCTCTTCCTTCCTTCCCTCCATTTATCCTTTCTTCTTTCCCTCCATTTTTCCTTCTTTCCTTCTCTCCGTTTATCCTTTCTTCCCTCCCTTCTTTCCTTCCCTCAGTCTCCCTTCTCCTTCCCTCCTTCCCTTTATTCCTTCTCCCTCTCCTTTGTGTTCCCTCGTTCCTTGCTCCATCTTCCTTCTTTCCTTCCTTCCTCACTCTTCCTTCCTTCCCTCCGTTTATCCTTTCTTCTTTCCTTCCCCCCTCACCTTCTTTCCTTTCTTTCATTCCTTCCTTCCTGTTTCCTCCCTCCCTTCCTCCATGCTCTTTGTTTTCTTCCTTCCTTCATCCTCTCTTCCTTCCCTCTCCCCTTCCCTCCTTCTTTCCTTTCATTCCTTCTCCCTCCTTCCTTTCCCCCCTCTCCTTCCTCCTTGCTTCCTGTTTCCTTCTCTCCGTTTATCCTTCCTTCCCTCCCGCCTTTCCTTCCTTGTCTCCCCCTCTCCCTTCCTTCCTTCCTTCCTTCCTTCCTCCCTCCCTCTCTCCCTGCTACTTCCTTGCAGTCAAGGCTGAGAAAAAAGCCACTTAAAGTGGGAGGAGGAGGAGGAGCACCTGCTTGCACCCGAAAAGTAGGCCTAGTAGTCAAAGGGGCTGGCCAGAAGAGCTTCTCCTGCTTTTCCCCCTAGTCTGAGGCGGCTTCGGAGACTGGCCAGAGGAGGCCTCCCCTCGCCTGTCGCCCGACTTTGGCTTCCTGAGCCATCATCATGATCCTTTCCTCAGCCCCCGTTTGATGCTCCGGAGTTCGGCCTGCGTTTGGCTTCCATCTGTCTGATTTGGCTGGGAAGAATCCCATTGGATCTGGGTCAGAAATGGGTTTCTCTAAAGGGGCTGCCCATGTGGAGAAGGCTATGCCCCTGGAGATTTGGTTGGGGGAGGGAGGGAGGGAGGGAGGGAGGGAGAAAAGGAAGGAAGGAAGGAAGGAAGGAAGGAAGGAAGGAAGGAAGGAAGGAAAAGAATGGTACAAATGAAGAAAGAAAAATATGAGAGGAAGAGGGAGAAGGAAGGAAGGAAAGGAAGGAAGGAAGGAAGGAAGGAAGGAAAAGAATGGTACAAATGAAGAAAGAAAAATATGAGAGGAGAGGGAGAAGGAAGGAAGGAAAGGAAGGAAGGAAGGAAGGAAGGAAGGAAGGAAGGAAGGAAGGAAGGAAGGAAGGAAGGAAGGAAAAGAATGGTACAAATGAAGAAAGAAAAATATGAGAGGAAGAGGGAGAAGGAAGGAAGGAATGGTACAAAGGGAAAAATAAAAATATGAGAGGAAGAGGGAGTAGGAGGGAAGGAAAGAAAGGAAGATAGAGAAAGGGAGAAACTAAAATATGAGAGGAAGAGGGAGAAGGAAGGAAGGAAAATGGAGAAAGGTACAAAGGAAGAAAGAAAAATATGAGAAAGAGGGAAGAAAGGAAGGAAAGAAGGAAGATTGGAAAGAACCCCTATGGGGGGTTTTTGACTTATAACCATTCATTTAGTTACCTTTTAAAGCTACATTGGCACTGAAAAAAGGGGTTGATGGCCGTTTTTCACACTTACGTCAGTTGCAGCATCCCCGTGGTCACGTGATCAAAATTCAGATACTTGGCAACTGGCATGTACTTATTTCAGCGTCCCGGGGGTCACGTGATCCCCTTTGGTGAACTTCTGACTGGCAACATCAACGGGGAAGTTGAATGCGCTTTAACAACCGTGGGACTAACTTAACATCTGCAGTGATTCACGTAACAACTGCAGCAAGGCAGGTTGTAAAATGGGATGAAACTCACTTAATAACCGTCCCACTAAGCAAAAGAAAGGTTGGGTTCAGCAGTGGTCATAAGTCAAGGACTATCTGTAAAGGCCAGGGGTAGGCAACTTTGGCTCCTTCATGACTCGTGGACTTCAACTCCCAGAATTCCTGAGCCAGCATGGGGGAACTATAGCCCCTTCATGACTCGTGGACTTCAACTCCCAGAATTCCAGAGCCAGCATGGCTCAGCTTGGAAACCTCTCCCTTTCCCCTCAGCATGGCTGGCTCAGGAATTCTGGGAGTTGAAGTCCACCAGTCATAAAAGAGCCAAGGTTGCCTACCAGTATAGGAGGAGAAAAGGGAGCAGGTTGCCAGGAAGACTACAGCCTCCCCATAAAGGCTGAGAGATTGTGAGAAATTGTGACGTTGGCAACAGAGGTCATGCAGAGCAGAAGAGACTTTTCTAGAGAGAGAAAAAAAAACATCCGTTTAATGAACATGAAGAGAGTCAATTGCTTGCAGATGAGAATAAAAAGCTATTCAACTTCTATTTTGATCATCTTCTCCAATAAAAGCTGAGGAATTCTGGGAGTTGAAGTCCACAAGTCATAGAAGGGTCAAGTTTGAAGACCCCTGGTTTAGAGCAGTGTTTCCCATCCTTTTTATGACTGATGGACTTCAACTCCCAGAATTCAATTGCTGGCTGAGGAATTCTGGGAGTTCAAGTCCACAAGTCATAAAAGGGCCCAGTTTGAAGACCCCTGACATAATGTGAGGGGGAAATAATGCTAACTCAGAAAGAGCTAAACTGGTGTTTCTCAACTTCGGCCATTTTAAGAGGTGTGGACTTCAACTCCCAGAATTCCTCAGTCA